AAAAAAAAAAAAAAAAAAAAGACATCTTTTAAATTGCTACAGTGTGTTCTACAGAATGCCCAAGCAAAGGGGATATTTTTAAGCAAATACGAACCTCAAAAAGAGGTGTCTAGGATCTTAAGATGATAACCTTAATTTTGAATGATAATAGGATCCATGTATAATTAAAATTATCCCTTACGACAGTTTTTATCATTCGTCCTTTGCATTATATCCATGTGTCCTTGTTTAAGCATCACTTGCTTATTTGCTTTCACAATATTACTCTTTCAAGAGGATCTTATTTGTCTAGGTCACTACTTATTTAGTTTTATTTTCGTTTGTTATCGTATTCATTAATATCTGAACAGAATTCAGGCCCATGAAACAAGATGTTTTTCTTTGTATTTGTTCCAAAGTGTTAAGTTTATGCTGTGATCTTTAAAAGACTAATAATCTTACATTTGTCGACATATACCTAAGTTCTTTCTTGTATGCAGGATGGGAAACCAGCCAACTGCAAGCAAGACAACTGGTCGAGTCCAGATTACGGGTCAGCCAATTGAGCAGAATGGTAACTGCTGTGGTTAGTTGTGCTTTGTTTTACTTTGTGTGTAGAAGTTCTGTATAAAGATAACATATGTCTATTTACATAAATGTCCCTGAACTACTGCAGAGATTGTTTTTATGCATACTTAAACTATACTCTTTATGGTTTGATGATATCCTCTTTAAGGCCACACTCACACATATTATTTGCTCATACTACATGCATCTACAACTGGAGTTTAATATGATTTAGTATTTGGTGACTCTCTTATGATTTTTGTGAATGCCAATGTGTGTGAATTCCAAATGAAATATATTATTTTGACTGGGAATTCCAGTAGATGCTTTAGCTATCTTTGTATGGTATTCCAAATAAAATACATTTTCAATCAATGTTAATCACTCGCGCCGCGCCACAGCTTGCGGCGTGCGTCACGGGCCGACGCAGGCTTCCCAGGCCGACACAAGCTTCCCGAGCGTCCTTACTCTGTGTTATTATCACTAGTATCTAGTATCCAATTAGTAACATCATAGTCAAGAGTTGTGTTAAATAACCTACTCACTGTTATTATCAGTAGTATCCAGTTAGTTACATCATAGTAGCATTTAATTTTTGTTATCACCAATTTTCATTATTATTCTCTAGATCTTGAAATATAGATAAACCTTTGAAGCAGGAATTTGAAAAATTACTTAGTTCATATACCAACAAAAATAACATAAACTCCCACTCATTTACCTTTTGTTCAACATGCAAAAATACACTAAAAGCCACAAAATAATTATCATCTCTTCATCCGCCTTGTGTTCAAAATGCACACAACCAACATCGATCTCCGAAAGCCAGAGTATGAATCAATAACTTTGTCTAAACAAGATTTCCCAAAACAGAAAAATATGAGAAACAAAATAGTAAAACAGGTACTTGAGTTGAACATTTTTTTTCGGCCATTTTATGTCGAGCAGCATGCCTTCTTCCCACTGTTATCTGGGCCCACAACAAGAGTTTGTCCTTCTTTAATGTTAGTCTGAGCAGTCTCGTTGGATGCGAGCGATTTCTTACTAATAATCCTGTAAATCTCGGCAAGAATGTTCTGAAAAGCTTTTTCCACATTAGTGGCCTCCAGAGCAGATGTCTCGATAAATGAAAGCTCTTCCCTCTCGGCAAAACCCTGAGCGTCCTCTGTGGCCACGGCCCTGAGGTGTTTGAGGTCAGTTTTGTTTCCTATGAGCATGATAACAATGTTGGAGTCGGCATGGTCCCTAAGTTCTTTCAGCCAGCGGTTCACATTCTCAAAAGTCGTCGGCTTTGTTACATCATACACGAGAAGGGCTCCAAGGGCACCACGGTAATATGCGCTTGTTATGGCCCTGTATCTCTCTTGACCTGCAGTGTCCCATATTTGAGCTTTTATAGTTCGACCCTCGACCTGTGTAACAAAAATTTAGCAAACTTTTTTCTATTAAAAAGAAAATGAACTTAAAATGAGAAGCCAGTCAACTAATTTGCAATTGCAGAGATAAATTACTAGGTCAAGCCTGCCAGTTTTTTTAAGCCAAAGGCCGTCATGTAAAATATACAACCACCGAAAGAAAGTTATAACCAATGACAAAAAATAAAGAGCAAAATTGAAAAAGACGCGCACACACACACACAATGGTATTGTTTTGAACACTTAAATCTATCAGAGTGTGTTGTTAAACCATAAGAAAAATGAGTTTTGGATTTGAGTTCTTAAAAACTGCTGACATCCCAATATGCCCATATGAGAAAAATACAAATCGACATGAGAATCCAACAAAGCATTTTTCCAATTCTTTTCCAGTTTCCACTCAATCAAAGCAAAGTTTAAACTATTATCGGTTTCGGCTTCATTGTTTTTTAGTTATTATTTTCCCATAATCTTCTTGTTGCTAATGTGTAAGGACTGGTTCCCTATGTTCTCCTCATCACCCAAAGCTAATCATTATAAACTGGTCCCCTTTGAAACGAGGCGAATGAAACATAAATTTCATGTATTTCAATTCGTTCTACAGAACAAGTGTTCGAAGGTGGTCCAAAATGCACAGATCGTGAAATCACCACCTCAAAAGGTAATCCCACCCCATCAAACAACAAATCAAAAATTTCAAAACCTCGTCACAAAAAAGTTCCAGAATCCATTAAAAAAAAAAAAGAAACAAACAAACATCGCCCCTTTTTTCGTTAAATTGCAACCAACATCAGATATCAAGTATCACTATGTTTTAGCATTTAACTTTCCCATAAGCTTCTTGTTTCTAATGTGTAAGGCACCGGTTTCCCTCTATTATCCTCATCACCCTAAACCAATCACTGTAAACTGATCCAAGTCGAAACGAAGCAAACGAGATATGCACTGGATCGTCAGATCCCGGAAAAACGAAAAACACCACTTTAGCAAGCATTCTGTGTAGCATATGGAAAAAAACAGAGGCATCATCAAATTCATGTATTCCAATTCGTTCTCGTGAACAAGTGCTCAAAGGGGTTCCGAAAACACACAAATCAACAGATCACCACCTCAAAAGGTAACCACACCCCATCAAACAAACAGATCTAGGATTTCAAAACCTCTCCACACAAAAAGTTCCACAATTCCATAAAAAAGATCGCCCTAAACTAATCAAAATAGCAATCGAAAGCCAGATATCAACAAGTATCAATCCACAAAAACAAATGATTCGATGAAACCCAATTTAAGTCGCCATTTCCCTTTTCATCAATCAATCGATAGAAAAACACGATTCCTAATTAGAGAAATGCTAAAAATAGGGGAAAAAAATGGAGAAAGAAATGGTTGGACCTGAAGAGTACGGGTGGCGAATTCAACGCCGATGGTGGATTTGGACTCCAAGCAGAACTCGTTTCGAGTAAATCTGGAGAGCAAATTGGACTTGCCGACGCCGGAGTCGCCGATTAAGACGACCTTGAAGAGGTAATCGTACTCCTCGTCCGGTCTCCTTGCCATCACTTCAACACCTCAAAATCGCTCCTCTCGATCAGAAGTTTTCGCCGGCAGCGTAAATAGTGGCGGTTCTTTTTTTTTTTTTTTTCTTCCTTGGCCTCCTTTTAAACTGTCTTCCAATTTTTTTATTTACTTTTTAATTATTGTTTGGGCAGACATGAGACATGCTTATGGGGAAATGGTCATGTGGAATGATGTCATTATCACATTCAAAAAAAATACTACGCGGTGGTGTTGAGTTAAAAAAATCTAATTAATGAAAAAAAAAGAGAAATAGACAATACAGAAAGTGATTTGTAAATCGTAATTTGTGAGAAAAATATGAGAGAAAATTATAAGATGGTAAGATTGTTATTTACCCAAATTAAGAAAGAAATTTTGACTAAGAGAAGAAATAACAAAACTAAATGTACACTTATGAAGTTTTGAAAAAAATTATTTTTTTTTTTTTTTCGAAACGAAAGAGATAATATATAACTACTCAAGAGAAAGATATAGCCAAATACAAATGAGGCCAACAGCCGAAAATGAAAAGAGAAAGAACACGCTATAAAGCGGCCTAGATAACTCCCATACGGGTATCACGACACAACACAAACTACGAACGCTCCCAACATGAGAATAGAAACGACCCTCACGGGGTAATCAGTACCGAGGCAAACGGCCCAAACCAAAAACACGATCCTACCAATACAAAACACTAAGAAAACACAAGAAGAACCTAATAGATATAAAAATTAAATAAAAAAAGCCCTCTTCACCAACTGTCGAGCCACTTCCAGACGCCCCAAACAAGCTCCGAACGAGAGATAATCAACCGAGAAAATCTAGCCCACGGCCCACATACAAGATCTAGAAACTCCCTAACGGCTAACTAGATCTGGACCAATCGGCTCGACGGCTTCCCGAATGACCACCACCGCGTATCCCGCGACCGCAGCCACGCCGAGAGGATCAGCCGCTGCACTCGCCGGGGGTTCTAGCCGCTTCAGCACCAGAAGACGGACTGAAACCGGGAGAATTCCAGGGCCCCCGATATGAGAGCTGACAGCCAAAAGAGACCGCCGACACTCACCACCGAGAGAATCTCGACCAGACATACATCGCAGCTCCACCCCGCCATGGCCGATGAAACCAGTCGACAGTTGGAGGAAGCCACACATGCCCGCCCAGTCACTCATCTTCAGCCTTGATGTCCCCGAGCTCCGAACTCGCCGGGGAAGAAGACCTCTGCCGGTGAAGAGGCGAGCGCCGATCAATTTGCCGAAGATCTAGGGTTTACGAATTGGGGGAGAGGGTAACCAATTATTGACTCGATTTTTATTTATTTATTTATTTATTTTGTGTCCGCCTATTTTTTTTTTAAAAAAATGTTATTTACTAAGATTGTGTTTTTCTATTCACATTTCTTTCACTATCTTTCATTCTCATTTGATCTCAATTCATATATGTACACGTGAAGAGAATAAGATTTGTCATATTTAGAAAAAAAATTCCAAAAAAAAAATCAAATATATACTCTAAATGTTAATAGAAAAACACAATATTACATACAATCTATTTTTGCGGTCTTTAATCTCAGTTAGATATAAAATCTCAATTTATATGATATATATTTTTGGTTTGCATTAATATCGATTTGTATTTTTAAAATTGATAAATCAAGCTCATGCATAAAGCGTGGAATTGTTAAATGTACAAGTTTCTTTTTTACGGTAACAACTTAAAAAAAAAAAATTGAAATATAGTGTACTCAAATTTTCATACACATATATAGACGTCATAATTATAGGCAATTTTTTTACACAGGCTATCTATATATACATATACATATAAAGATGTTAAATTTAAATATTTGTAGACATGTTTTATTTAAGTTTAGAAAAAAATTAGTTGACTTTGCATCTTTCATACAAATGTGAATTTAAATGTTTTTAGATATGTTTCCTTACAAGATACTTTAGAAAAATTATAGACACATCTTTCAATAATAATATAAAGAATTTTAGAAACTTTTACATAGTTATATAATATTTTAGGTGTTCTTAATATTTTAACATACAGTTTTTATGTTCTTTTTATACACAATAATTTTATATTATTTACAATAAACTAATATCCGTAAATTATATTGCATGTTAACTCCACATCATCAATTTCTTAATACTCCCTCCTAATCATTATAAATATCGTTTTGACTTTTTTGATTCATCCATTTTATTATGTATCTAGACATATTAATGTTTAGATACATAATAAAATGGATGAATCACATAAGTCAAAACGACATTTATAATGAACAGGAGGTAGTATTACTTATCTATATCTCTAATTATAATTATTAGTTTTTTTTATATTATTTACCTTCATCAATATTTTAATATTGTTTACATGTGCGTTGCACATGCTACACACTAGTCATTTAAGGTTAGTTTAAAGAGGTAAATGTACTTGATTTACTACCAAAAATGTTTATGTTATATACACGACTCTATTCATACTAATTGGAAGAGACAAGTTTTTATTTTATTTTTCTAAAAAAAAAGGGTTCACCACTAATTTAATAAATTAGTTATGAACCAAATTTAAAACGTTTCATCACTAATTTAATAAATTAAATATGAACCAACTTTAATATGATATTAATTTATTTGACTTTAATAAACAAAAATATAAGTAAGTTTAGTTAAGAAATAGAAAAAGAAAAAATTAACAATTCTATGAAAACTGCAAATTGTTCTTACAAAATTTAAAAGTAAATGAATTTCAACATTTTGAAAATGTATCAGGATATGTATCTAAGAGCATCTCTAATGCATTTTTTTGAAAGAATACAAAGTTATCCACCTCATCTTGATAGAAAGTGTGTGCATAATTTATACTCCAATGCATTAAATTATGGCTCTTTCATGCTTATGTGTAAAAAATTAATGTTAACATTGTCAAACTCACTTTCTAATTTCTCACATTCTTTCTAACATGATGACTAAGCATTTGAGTAATTATTTGCACAAATTACGGTAAATTTGGAGTTTTTTATAAACTTGGAAAAATCTCACCCTTCCATTAATTCAATAAATATTTTGATAATTTATATGTATACAATAGAATCATCTAATAATGAGCTACAACTAAAATTAAAAAAAAAAAATCTGAAAAATAAAATATTGTGTTCATTATATTTGTTTGTTGAGTTTTTTGCAATTTTTATGTTTTGTGGTTTTCTTATAAAAGGATTAAAAAAATTTTAATTGTGTGGTATACATATTGAATTGAGCTTACCAAAATCTTTTCAAAATTTTCGTTAAGAAAAAGACATAAAAATCCACAAAAATTGGTGCATTCTGTTATAAAACTAGAGGGAAAAGAGGGAGAATAGAGAAAATGTATTCACTTGGTACTATTTTCATTATAACTGAAACTCCTATTTATAGGAAAAGTTTGGATGACACAATCGTAATAATACAATTACATCAGAGACAAAATAATTATTTATATACATTATTTATAATAAAATTGATGGTAGTGGTTATACCAACCAACCATATATATTTATAACACTCCCTCTTGAATGACTATTTTTAAAAATATTTAATCATTATTTGAACAAAGCTCAATCTGAACATCTTGAAGTGTATCTTGCAGCCATCAGATACTGTTGCTTTAGCATGTCAGGAAAACCCGGTGGGACAAAACTTGATCATTATGGAACCACAACATTTCTCCTCAGGCAAACCTGGTGGGACAAAACTTGAGCATTGTGGAAGCACAACATTGCTCCACCTTAAATAGATCATCTTTATTGGAGGATCCACGTGCTGCCTTGTTAAAATCTTGTCAAGAAAATCCAGTGGGAAAAAACTTGATAGAAAGAAAAAGAGTACAACTACCCTAGTGTCTTCTTATCATCATGAGGAATTATATCAATTATCTAGCAGTCCTCATTATACCATGAATATACATCGTTAAAACCTTATTAGGAAAACTAAGTGGGACAAAATCCTAATGAAGGAACAATAATACACTATTCATGTGAATACGCCATCCCTGTTGCCTCATTAAAAACCTGCTAGGAAAACCTAATGGGACAAAACCTCAGGCAAGGGAAAAAGAGTACAATGCGTATTTCCATATATTCACCATAACAATCTTCCCATATTTTGTATGAGTATCATATAGATTCATTTAGATTTTCAGGTACTGATGGTAATCATGATAATATTAATATCATGTTTTGTGCAACTTTCATTCTTATCATCAACTGATTTCAATGGTCTTACTGTCAATAGATTCCAATAATCACATTTTCAGTTGATTTCAATCTCGTCAACATCATTTATATAGTGCTATTCATTTGTTTGTGTCGCATATTCATTTTCATTATTCCCCATAATATACTGTGATATATCATTATCAATTGGTTTCATCAATAGTATATATATGTCTCATTCCATCACTTATTTGGGGAATATTAATTTGCACAATACCAACACTTCCAACGTATTAATTATTCCACCATCATATCATTTCATATATTTTACCACCATCAGTATCATTCAGTTTATGATTTCTACACTTTCAGTGTGATGCATATATCATTTACAAATTTCAATCATTGATTCTCCCTCTAATCTTAACACATCCCTGATATGTATTTTCATTATTGAGTTCTTGAGGGGAGTTCATATAACCTCCATTCTGTTCTCGATTTCAACATATAATAGGAGGACTTTAAACCCATATCACTTGTAATGTGCACATATTTCCTTCAAGAGTTCATTCATATCAACTGAGTATATTACTAGCTTTATCACTTCCATATGACACTTATTTTCATTCTTTCATAACCATCACGTAAACGTTACGTTACGTGTCATATACACTTTCTTTGACCAAACCAGCTCGTAACTTCATGTTACGTGTCATATATTCATTATTTGATCAAATCATCTCGGAACTTTAGGTTACGAATCACACACATGTGGCTATCTAGCGGATCCATA